CTCGAGCACAAAGGTAAAGCTTGAGCTCTCCTTCAGAAAGCTCGAGCACTGAACACCAAACAGTTTCCAAAAGTTATGAGAAAGTTAAAAAACTTCTCTTCTTTGTTTCCTTATGGGCTTAATTCTCTCTAAAATAAGCTGCATCCAAGGGGGATTAGGACTTGATCTCCATTATAAAAGAAGAAGAGAAGACACAAAGAAAAGTTTCTTAGCGGCTTAGGGTTTTGGAGTTCTCATTGAAGATTGAAGAAAAAGATCCCAAGAGGAATTGCGGTCCTTGGAGAAGATTACTCCACGAGTAGCTAAATCATCTCTTAGGGCATTGATGTAACCTTAGCCAAGTAGCGTGATTTGATTGTTCTTAACTTTGGGGATTTTTATGCATTTATGTATATTGATTGCATGATTGTGAGCAATTGATTTGGTTGTACCAAGCAATTGGAGTTTTAATGAAATCATTATCTATTGATGTCGTTTTAATTGATATCAAACTTCTCTTATTTTCTGTGATTATAGGAGTAGTGATCATGCAATGGTGCTTAACAAATGTATGAGTGAATGTTTTGATAAGTCATTCCTAGGGAAAACGAGTTATACTACACCCTGGATTAGGGTAGTTAGGTAAACAATTCGTGCCAACCGAAGATGAGTTATGATAGCTTAGTGTTTATTCATACATATCCTTGTAATTGAATTAGAGTGTGCTTGTAGCCACTTGATTCCCGAATATACACAAGTATCAAGTCCCCATAGTTGAGACAACTGACCATGTTGTGAGGCTAATGGTGAAGTTAATCCCTAAGTTTCCCCTCTCTTGATTCATTGTTAACTTAGTTTATTTTCATTTTCTATTGCAATTTAGACTTAGAAAATCTCATAATTGCAATTTAGACTTAGAAAATCTCAAAATCATCTTTCATCTTGAATTAAATTAGGATTAATTTTACACTAAACAATTCCAACACGGCGAGTGGTCTTTTATTGTTGAAACACATCAATTATAAAAGGGTTAGACCTCTATATCTGCTGTAATCAAGTCTTTATCAATATATTTTGAGACATTATCAGATTTTCTACTTCTCTAAGACTTTCCCCAGATTTCCCTTTAGAAATCTAGGCTCTGACGGTGCATGGAGTAACCTAGTCTTTCTTACTGTTGTAAGAAGACTTCTTTCTTTTTCTGTTTGCTTCAAGTGGTATCACAGTCTTTCCTCTAAGATCTGTGATTATTGTGGATCTATGGCTGAACAAGGAAACAACCAAGTGGGCAATACAGAAACATCTCAAGCACTAAATGCTGGTAATGTGACTACAAAAGAAGATTTGGAGAACCTGCAGCAATAAATGCAGCAGCAAATGCAGCAACTTTCTCGACTGAGCACTATCTTCGAACAACACGGAATCATTTCTCCTCTTAATCTGGACAGTAGGAGACAAATGGATGCATATCAATGCGAATATTGGACAGAACAGCCACAAAACACTTGGGCCGCAGCGGTGAACCATGCCAAAGAGCCTGAATTTTGGTCCTACACTTGTAAAGGTTCAAGATACAAGTCTGCCAAGTTCCCAAGAGATGTAAACAACCACGACATTTATGAAAAACAATTCTTTAATGAGGAAGATCTTGGGATTTATGTTGACACCTACTCAACTTTTGATGAATCTTTTGATAGTGTAGATGAAGAAGATGAGATCATGGGGGTACATTCAACTTCATCACTTCAAGAATTTGACAACAATGAAGAGGAATATGAGGAATAAAAGGAGGAAGAGGAGAAGTCTAAAGAACCAGCCAGCAACATGGCAGAAGATAAAGCAGCCATCATTATTCAATCTGCATATCGTGGATTTTGGTGAGAAAGTGGGAACTGTTGAAGAAATTAAAGTACATATTTCAAGATTCCAAAGTTGCAAAAATTTCAGAACTTATGTTTGTCGACAGATAGAGGAAAAATTTGAAGATAAAACCATTGAATTTCCAATGGTAAGGGGTTCCATAGAAAGTACATCCGAAAAAGTTTCCTTGTATAATTTGGTTAGAAATGAATCTTCTTTTTCATGGAGCTGAGGCATCAATGATGCCTTAGAAAGTGCCTTGAAGAAAAGTCAGAGTCCTTCTTTATCAGTAATTCTTTGGGTATATGCTTGACGACGAAAGAGATGTTGCTCCTGTGCCTGTGACTGAAGCAGCAGATCCCTCCATTTTGCCTCCACTCTCTTCGATGCCTGCGCAGATCCACCCACATATTCTGCCTCTGATCTTGATCATCCTATTGCTGTCCGAAACGGTAAACGGTCCTGCACCAATCATCATATCTCACATTTTGTATCATACAGTAAATTATCTTCGTCCTTTCAAGCTTTTTCTTTATCTTTGTCAACTATTGCTAATTTGCTCTCCCTAAGTCCTACAGGGAGACTTTCTCATCCTAGGTGGAGAAAAACAATGGAAGATGAAATGCATGATCTACACTTGAATCATAGTTGGGACCTTGTTCCTAAGCTTGTAGGTGCACAGGTTAGTGGTTGTCGTTGCGTTTTCACTGTTAAACAGAATCCAGATGTGGCACTAGATCGGCTAAAGGCCCGTTCGGTTGCTAAAGGCTATACTCAGACCTATGGCCTTGATTATACTGAGACATTCTCTCGTGGCCAAGATGAACTCGGTTCGTGTGACTATTTCTCTTGCTGTGAATCTAGAATGGCCACTTTATCAACTTGATGTTAAAAATGTCTTATTGCACGGTGATCTTACTGAGACAGTTTCTATGGCTCAACCAGGGGCTTGAGTCCATGAGGGAGTGTGTCTGTCATCTCAAGAAGTCTATTCATGAACTTAAACAGTCCCCAATGCGTGGTTGATAAGTTTGGTAAAGCAGTAGTGGCTCATGGTATGACTGATTTCTGATCATTCTGTCTTCTTACTTCTTTAAGAAGACAAAGCTTGGTATTGTGATACTACTTGTTTATGTGGATGATATTGCATCAACGGCATTGATAGGGATGACATTCAGATTATAACCACTAACTTGAGTTCTAGTTTTCACACTAAGAATTTGGGAAAACTTCTGTATTCTTTGGGGATTGAGGTGGCACAATCGAAGCAAGGAATTAGTCTCTCTCAGCGGAAATACACTCTTCATATATTACAAGATACAGGTTACCCTGGTTCGAAACCTGTAGCTACACCCATGGAAACTAATTTGAAACTTAAAATGGATGACCGTGACCCACTTGATGACCCAGAGATGTATATGAGACTCGTAGGTAAACTCGTTTACCTAACGATCAACCGCCCAGACATCTCCTATGCCGTTGGTGTTATAATCAGTTTATGACCAGACCGAGGGTTCCACACATGGAGGCTGTTCTACGGATTTTGAAGCATCTCGAGGGTGCTCCAGGTCATGGTTTGCTTTATTGCTCTTCTGGGCATCTTCGCATTTAGGGTTACACAAATGCGGAATGGGCAGAATCTCCTTCAGATCAAGGAAGTTATACCACTGGTTATTGTACCTTTACAGGAGGGAATCTATTGACTTAGAGGAGCAAGAAACAGTACCCAATTCCCCTCTACTGTGATAATCAAGAAGCCATATATATTGCTAGCAATCCAGTCTTTCATGAAAGAACCAAGCATATCAAAGCTGATTGTCATTTCATACACTCCAAAATCAATTTGAATGAGATAGTTACTCCATTTGTTCCCTCTGGAAGTCAGCTAGCAGACATCTTCACAAAGGCACCTCCAAAGCATACCATTGGTTCTATACATAGAAAGATGGGAGTCATTGACACCTACTCTCCAGCTTGAGGGTGAGTATTGAGATAGTTAATTATAAGCTGTCCATACAGCTACGCGCATGAGCAACACCTTCCATATTCACACTGTCCATATTATCACACTTTCCATTATACACGGCACTCACGTGACATAGGTTACTAACACAAATAGTGTTGGGGCAGTGGAAACGTGCAAACCATTGAGATCCAATGAAAGCCAACAAAGCAATCACACACAAACACAAGATATAATGTGGTTTGAGCCGAAACTAAATCCACGGATGAGAAAGAGATCCCACTATGATTCGTAGAGATATTATAGCAATAGTGTACCAACACCACATGCCTTTTCACCATGTACTACTCCACGAGCCTATCTCCTCGTTACTAGTGTCACCGGTGTTTTTCCTACTCTACTAACCTGTAAACTACCTCTGCCCATCAACTCCCTCATGAGACTATATCTCTTTCAATCTCACTAGTCTTCACTCAACCTAGGTACCTTCCAAACTCAAATCCTTGATGGACAAGGATTACAATTCCTTGGAGACTAAGACTTGCCTAACAAGAAATTTCTTAACATAATACAACTCTAAAATAGAAACCTAATTGTAATAGCAATTTGAGACACAATTTCCAAGAAATAGGATTGGCTGAGAATTATTTATCTTGAATAAAATTGGGATGGGATCCAACCACTCTATCTAGACTTGGGAGTACATCTTAATAATAGTAGAAATATAAAAAGAAGAAAAAGGAGAGAATTGTGCAAAGGCTTGAATGATTATTTTTATCCATTCACAGCTCTAGTATTTATAGGTAAAAAAAGCACATGCTCATATTACAAGAAAAGAAATGAAATCAAATCTAAATCAAATCACAGAATATTCTATGGCATATTCTATAGCATAATCAAATCTCTGCTAATACGGTAAGTCATTCCATAAATCATGGCTATCATATCTGCTAACAATAATAAATATTGAATACCAAAGAGAAAGCAAAGAAAAAAACAAGTAACAATCAATTGATCCAGCAGATAAATTTTGTTATATTATGTAATGACTGCACAAACAATCTTGTCCAAGTATAAAACAAACATTAAGTCATCACATCTCAGAACCTAAAAACAAACATAAAGCTAATACACAATGACATGGTAGTCTCAAGTAAACTCTTTTAGAAACTAAAATTAAAAAACAAATTGCCAGTACCTGGATATGTCATCATTAGATTCTCCTTGCAACGCCTCACATAAACCAGAGCTAAGATCCTTTAGACTTTCTATTTCTTGGAAATCAGGAGGAAAATCTGAAGTACTTATAGGAAACTGTTGGCAACCCCCCCCAAAAAAAAAAAAGAAAAGAAAAGAAAAGAAAAGAAAAAGATTGCATCATTGATACCACTGCCAACTAAAACCACCAATTTAATATCACAGTAATAGAAAGTAGCATTTGAGCATCATGAGATGACAATAAAACTTAGAATTATAGAAACATCATGAAAATGGATACTTACAGGAAAACTTAGCTAGTTTTCTTCTTCGTACACTAATATGCGAATTAGACAAAACAATCAAATAACTTTTAAAAAGCCGACACCTAGTGTGGTCCCGCTAATATGGGGTGCTGGGAGGGTGGATCAAATATTGTTTTGACATTTGCCATTATTTGCACAAAGGGGCTACAATAAACTTTTTTGATAAGCAAAATAATATATTTATTTATTTTTTATTTTATATTTTTTTATAAGTAAGGGGACACCATCAAACTCAAACCTACATTCCCAAGCGCCGGACGAGTTTTACCATTCAGCAATGGCCACCTTAAAGTCTTAAATGGTAAATTATCGCAATGGCTAAATGCAAATATTTTTTCATTCTAGAGTTTAGCCAAGCAAACACTTTTCGGCCCCAAGGCCCCCACTATACCTTTTATTATTATGATTTTTATTTTATGATTTCTATAAAAATAAATTTAAATAATAGTATGAGTTATCAATTTGCCTAATATAGTTTCTGAGATATACAAGAATTCACCCAAAGGACAATGAATTTTCAGGGCAAATGAACTTTAAACCATCATAAGCCAAATATCCAAACATATATAGAGGAGACTGCATAAAGAGCATTTTCATGATTACATCTTGAAAAAAAAAAAAAAAAAAAAAAACAGATTTTCCTTTCAGTAACCATCATAAGCCAAATATCCAAACATGCATAGAGGAGTGAGGACCATTCTGTAAGGAGGATTTTAGTTCCTTGAATGATTTAGATTGCATAACCTATACATTAAATTCTTAGATGTTAGTAGGCTTCTGAATTTCAGGTTCTGATTCACATGCAATTACATCTTTTAACAGAACACCCTTTTCGAAATTGATGCAGAAAATGAATAAATTCAACAACAGGGGTGGTAGTGATGACCCACAAAAGAGAACTACTAAATGATTGTCTGGACAATCTACCATGACAAGTGAATTTTTTTAAAAATTAATTACAAATTCTCATTAATCTACTCATTTATGCAGGATTGAGGCACATGCATACAAATTTATTTTATTTATTTATTATTTTTTTTAATAAGCAAGATTGTAATGGAAAGCGTTTAAAAGGGAAATGCATCCCTCAAAAGCTACACAAGACCAAATAGGGCTTCAAAACTCTCAAAGAGTCCCAAAAATAAAACAACTATCTCCTCCATGGATTTACAATTTCTCCCTGTAAACCTTCAAAAAGAGTACTAATAATGGGGAGAACTTCACTTCATAACCCCAATAGGAGTTTCCTTTCCTTCAAAGGATCTCCCGTTCCTTTCAAGCCATAAACATCACCAAATGCACTAAGGTACTACCCTCCAGAAATCACGGGGCTTGGGCCCCCACCATACATCCTCTCCAAGCCCCCACCAAACCAGTCAATGACCTGGCATTACCCACTGAATCCCATATAAACCCAATAATAAACCCCAGCTGTCCCATGCCACTAGGAAATGCAATAGAAGGGGGTCAACATTTTTCCTCATCTCTCTTACACATGCAGCACCTTGTCTCCTCCTCCAGAAATTATAAAAAGTAAGAATCTTCCCTAGCACTGCTCTCCACGCAAAAAAAGCCACGTTGAGGGGGGCCATAGAATGCCTAACGGCCTTCCACGGGAAGGGATACGCTGTAAAACCCGAAAGGCACCTATAAAGAGACCGAACATCAAAACGTCACAGGGCAGAGGGAACCCAAACTCAAAAGTTGAGACCATTTTCCACGACTTCTTAGCGGTACAACAGTTCCAAAATCAGGTCCCCCTACCATCCCGGACTCGGAAGCTAATGCGTTTAGAAAATTTATCCCACCCCTTCTGGATGAATTTCCAAAACCCAACTCCACCTTCGATTCTCACCTCATGAGAGCACTAGCCTCCTCTCTCCTCAAATTTACAAGCGATCACCCTCCTCCAGAGCCTGAGCCTCTCCACACCAAATCTCCATAACCACTTCCCCAAAAAAAAACCTTTTTGAAAGGCCCCAATCTTTTGATTCCCAAAAACTCCCAATTGAATCGGGTTCCAAACTTGATCCCATTCAACCAGGTGATACTTGAATTCCTCCCCCAAACCTTCCCATAGGAAATTATGCAGCAACATCTCAATGTAGGAAAGAGAGAAAGGAAATATGTAGGAAAGCTCAACAAGGTGCTGTTCATCAAACTGAGATATTGCTTCTTCCACCTTGACGACCTCCTCTCAAACTTTTCCACCATTGAATCCCACCCATCCACTCTACTTGAAGGCGCCCCCAAAGGGAAACCAAAATAGGAGATGGGAAAGGAGCCGACGCTGCACCCAAGAATGTGAGATATCGAGCACCTCCCTAACTGAAACCATAACACTTTTCCACATGTTCACTTTCAACCTAAAAAGGACTTGAAACCAGTGTTGTTAAAGGCGCGCCTAGGCTCGAGGCACAGGTCTAGCGCCTATTGTCATCCCAGGTGCACTGATGTTTACTAGGCGCTCACCTCGGTTGCGCCTTGTCCTATTTGTCAAGCGCCCACTTTTTCTTTTTTTAAATGATTATTCTATTTCTTAAGCCAAAAAGGGTACTTTTGGCAACTTAACAAACAAAAAAGAAAGCCCAAGTGCTAGCATATATGATACCACGATTTATGGAATGACTTACCATAATAGCAGAGATTTGACTATGCTATAGAATATGCAATAAAATATGCTTTAGATTAGGTTGTGATTTGATTTAGATTTGATTAAGTTTCATTTCTTGTAATATGAGCATGTACTCTTTTTATCTATAAATACTAGAGCTGTGAATGAGTAATTCATCTCATTCAAGCCTTTACGCAATTCTCTCCTTTCTCTTCTTTTTATATTTCTACTTGGTATTAGAGCCAACACCTTTCCACACCTTTCAGCAGCCTTGCTACTTGTGCAACAGCCACCTTAGGTTGTTTGTGACATCGTGTGACCTTGCCTACACATGTTTTTCTGTATTGTTGTTTTGTGATCGAAAATAGGTATTTTTAAGTTTTACAATTTCTTTTTTACTCTTCTGGGGTTGGGTAAATTGGGATAGTTGGTCTCCCACACCTAGAAGGGCTTGGGTAAAAAAAAAAAAGTCTACAAAGAGGATCCGGATATTAAGAAGGGAGCTATCTGGCTATATGTAAGCGGGCAGCGCTCCTTAAAAAAGGTATGTATTTGGATTTTTCGGGAATGGTGTGAGGAGACATTGTTTTTTTTTTTTTTTTTTTTTTTTGATAAGTAAAAATTTTATAAAAAAAACGCTCAGAAGGGGAGCGAAAGCCATGCAAATACAAAAGACCACAAAGGCCTCAAGCCTTCAAAGAGGCTAAAAAATCAACTACTTCCTCCAAATAACAATGATCTCTTCCTGAAACCCAACAAAAAAGAGTAGAAATAATCGAGAATTTAAGCACCGAAATCGACAAAGCCTTTCCTTCAAAGAATCTCCTATTCCTTTCAAGCCATAAACACCACCACACACAAAGTGGCGTAGCCCTCCACGCATCCTGATTGAGAGCCCCCACAGGGCAACCTCTCCACGCCTCAATCAACCCTCTAGCAGATCCAGGCATAACCCAAGAAACACCAAATAAGCCAAGCATCAAAACCCAACACTCTCTAGCCAAAGGGCAATGAATAAGAAGGTGATTCACAGACTCCTCATCACTAAGACACATAGAGCAACGGTTGACCACCACCTGGCTTCTCCTTCTCAGAGGAGCCTTGGATCGCCAAACAGACTTCCAAGGGAAACGAACTCCAGGAACAAAAGAGAGGCACTTGAAGAAAGACCTCACCTCAAAGCGCCCCTGAGAGTTTGCAATCCAAGACCAACAGTCTGAATCCTCCTCCACAATCCTTTGGCGATATAACAACTCCAAGAAACGAATGACCTCCTCGATCTCCCAATCCTGAAAGGAACGCCTGAATCGAACATCCCAAACCAGTCTTCCATTATCAAGATGATAACAGTTAACCACCATGGCCTGCTTATCCATAGCAATCCTGTAAAGCTGAGGAAAGGCGAGGGCAAGAGGCATATCTCCACACCACACATCCTCCCAGAAGCGAATCCTCCTCCCATATCTGAGACGAAACTGAATGTGCTTGGACAAATCATCCCAACCCTTCCGAATAAATTTACAAACCCCCACCCCCCGAGGATCTCTAACTTCCAAAGAACTCCACCCTCCTCTCATTTCCCCAAAACGACATGCCACAACCCTCCTCCAAAGCCGATGTCTCTCCACCCCGAACCTCTACAACCATTTCCCAAGGAGGGCCTTATTAAAGTGCACCAATTTACGGAGACCTAACCCACCATTGCGAATTGGACTGCAAACTTGGTCCCATCTCACCAAATGAAACTTAAACTCTTCACCTCCACCTCCCCACAGAAAATTACGCTGCAACCTCTCTATCCTTTCCGCAACTGAAGAGGGAATTTGGAAAAGAGAGATAAAATACGTGGGAAGACAAGAGAGAGTGCTCTTAATCAGCGTGACCCTACCGCCCTTGGAGAGATACTGCTTCTTCCAACCCGCCAACCTTCTCTCAAATCTGTCCACCACTGGATCCCAAATCCCCACACACCTCGAAGGAGCTCCCAAAGGCAACCCTAAGTAAGAAATGGGAAATGAACCAGTACGACAGCCAAGAATATCAGCAAAAGTCTTAATCTCAGGGACCTCCCCAATCGGCACCAAAACACTTTTTCCCACATTCACTTTAAGGCCGAAAACAACTTGAAACCAAATCAAAACACATCTCAAATATCTAATCTGAGAAACGTTCGCATC